CAATTAACCAAAACGAAAAATTGCTTATCTCTTTATCCAATACGAGGCGTTTCAAAAGAAAGCTCCGATTACTTGTTACTGTTTATTATGCTATGGCTGACTAAGTGACATTACACTTTTAGACCCCTGTGTGAACATCAAGTGTATAACAAATCAAATAAAAGCTTTTGAGCAGTACGTTTAGAATGCTTTAATTTATTAGCAGGTTTTTAATTTTCTCCCCGCATAAAATTCTTATGTGTGACCATTCAAGCAAAAGCTATTGAGAATAACGTTGATGTGGTACTTTTTACTGTGCGGCTCGACAAGGTGTTTTCGAGATATGTCAATAAAAGTCTTTAAAGTGTTGATAATTCATGTGAAAGCGATTTTAGCGGGAATAGACCATATTCGTATTTCCGGTATATGACTTGAACTAGCTTGCAATGGAGGCTCATGCGCAGGAATATCAATGAAAAGGGATGATTCCATTTGCATTTGAAAACACTCCCCGCATTGGCCTCAGCTGCGAGCTAATTCCAGTCTAATACCGAGAATACGAATATGGTCTATTCCAATTGGTACCGTTGGTTTTTAATATGTTGACAAGGTGATCTTTACCTCGAAACCTCGACCAAACGATTGCAACATTTCAACACAACATGTCCCAACATTGTTGGCCCAGCATTTGAAAGCCTCGGCCAAACGATCGCAACATTTGAGCGCAACACATCCAAACATTGTTGGGCCTAACATGTTGCGTGCATTTGGCCACCTTGTCGCGACGTGTTACGATATGTTGGGTACTGAAAATCGAACTAGTGTGCATGCCCGAGCGCAACATTGTTGGACGGACCCGGCCAAACGACTACAACATTATGCAACATCCACAAATGTTGCATGAAAAATTTGACCATTTTCAAATTCGAGCCAACAACACCCAACATGTCGCAACACGTCGCAACAGGGAAGCCAAACGGGCGCAACATGTTGCTCTCAACAATGTTGCGATATGTTGCGTTGAAATGTTGCGATCGTTTGGCCGGGGCTTGACATGTACAATAAGGTAGTGTTTTACCTAATTGTGACCCGTTTCGTTCCGGAATCATCATTTGACGGCATTGAGTATACTTACGCTTGGTTCTTGCAGGATAACCTGAATTGGGCCTGCACGACTGTAGCTTGTTATTTTGTCTTGGCTTCCTGTTTTTGAATCTGTCTTGTGTACACACTGAGAAAAGTCTCCTGCTCCTTGGGGTCCCTGTGGACCAGCTGGACCTTGAGCGCCCTGTGAGCCGTTAAACCCTTGGGGGCCCATGATGCCCTGGGGTCCTTGTGTTCCATTCAATCCTGGAGGTCCAGCGGGACCTATCGGTCCCTGAGAGCCGTTGAAGCCTGGAAGCCCGATTGGTCCGATTGGGCCCTGGAGCTTTCTCACGTTGTGTACCTACGAGAGAGATGGTTACAACATGTAATGGGTCTGTAGTCAATAATACCTCAGGGCTCCGTTGTTTTCAGGGTAGATAACGCTATCCTGTGGATAAATTGCTATCCAGTGGATGGGTGTCGATAAACAAATACTACGCTATTCATTCGATTGTAACTCATTTATTGGATAGTGTTATCCACTCTTCGAACAACTGCTGAGCCCAGCTGTTTGATGAAGGATACTACTCTAATTTAATTTTACCTTAATGGAAAGGGTCCTGTTAATTTCCTCTAAAACTGCCCTCAGAGCGTTGTCTTCTTGTTCGAGTCGGTCCGTTGCATTTTTAAGCTGTTTGAGAAAAGACCAAAAGGCAATTTTCAAACTGTCATCGATAACTTACAGAAACCTTTCTCATATCCTACCGAGGTTAAACATTTACATAATTTCTTGCCACATCCTTCACTGCAATCATCATAGTCCTCTTCCTTGCTAAAACCTGGTTGACCAAACACCACCTGGCGCCGAACTGTCATGGCTGAGCTCTGAGTGAGGTAAAAAATTTCCTGAAGCGAGGCACAAAATGCTACTAAAAACAGGGCGAAACGGATTGTTATTGCTTTATGCCCCTTACTAACTTTCTTTAACTTTTTTTTCGAAGAAAAGTTTCTGTTAAAAATGCACTATCGTGGTTTACTCGAACACGACAAGGTTATCCGTTAGCATCTTGTTGTACTGTGATTAGAATAGTTTGGCGGATCAGGAGTTTGAACATATCCTCGTATTATATTCTTTACGCATGAAAATTAACTCATACAATATTTTGAGTGTACATGTTATTCTCTAAACTACGTTTGAAAGGTCTACCCTTGCTGTCCTCTAACTTGGTAAAATTGCTGTACAGTCGAACCTCCTCTAACGGCCACCTCGCTGCAACGGCCATTTTCCTCTCTCTCAAAGGTGACCAACTGTAGTAATCTTAAACGCGGGGTCGTGGAATCCATAAATTAAACTTCATCGATATTGTGTATTTGAGGCCTAACCTCCTTACCAACTTAAGAAAAGCGTAGTACCGGGTGCCAGGTAATTTTATGAAAAACCTAATGAAATTCCGAGACTAAAAAAGTTCAGGACGTGAGGCCTTTTGACTCATTGTTCATTCGCGTTGAAAGGAACATGTTAATATGGTTAGACGTATGATTGAATGTTTTGGGTTGGTTTATGAAAGAAATTATAGAAAACTGAAAATACTTTACACTCTCACTGGTTCGAGTTAGATCCACTTTGACGTTCCTCCAATATTTCTCTCCTTTTTTGTTTTTTGTCTTCCACTGTGAAAGGATCACATTCTGTACACCATCCGACATTCACTTTTACCCCCCTTTTAATTTTAACTAACGACTCTCCAACTACCATAAGATCCCACGTTGAAGCCTTGGGAACATATAACTTCACAGGGGGTTTTGGGTGGGCTTATAAACGGGGGGGGGGGGGGGGGGGGGGCTTATATCCGGGGGGCTTAAAAGCGGAATAAGAAAAATGTTTCGGAACGATGAAACAAAAAGTATCTGAGAAACGAATTAAAGCTAACATACCATTACATTTAGAGCTATTACCCCATTACGATTGAAAGTTTTGACGTTAGTAAAGAAACGCAAAAGGAACGCACTTATACATCAGATGGGCTGATATCAGGGATAATATCTTTGTTAGCAAGTAGAAGGGCTTATATCCGGGGGACTTATAACCGGAGAGGGCTTTAACGTGGGATTTTACGGTATCTCCTTTTCAGATACAAGCAATGTACTGTGTCACGTTACCCCCTTTTTCGTGCTGGAGATGGTCAAAGATAGCTCATCTATTGTCAATTTCGTACTTTGCTCTAAACTAGTCAGACCACGAAACTTAGCACTGAGGCCAAAACGTCTACTATGAAAATCGAGTTTAATTTGCCACTGAATTATTACTATTTACAACCTCAGACCACCAACAACTGTTGAGACAGATATATGGGAGACACTTTGGAATCGCAGGGTTTTTTTCCAAGAAATAAGACGTTGAACTATAGAGAAAAAGTGTAAAATGGGGTTGACAGGCCTGCACGACTCTCAAGCGCGTGTTTTAGCCTTTTATAGTTTGGCTCTCACAAGTATATCTTTGAGCGAACGCCCT